TAATCTTATCTTAATACTTTTTCTTGGAATAATGAGACCAATCAATTGGTATAAAGAAAACATAATTATTTAAAAAAAATATAATTTGCAATATGCAGCTGCATACTTTTTCTTAAAAGCAACTATGTATTCCGAAAACAATGTTTCGAACAAAAGTTGTTTTTATCAATAAAGTTGATATTTTAAATTTAATTAAGAGCATTTAAGGTTAATTTAATTTTTGAAATAGTACTATGTTAATTTTTTTTTGTATAAATCAATTGCTTGCAATAATTGGTACAAAAAGTTATCAGGATAATTAAAAAGTGAATAATTTACGAGATATTTTGAACTTTATTGTGACATAATATTACATAAACTGTGAAATATACCTTGTAAAATATTCATTTTTCAATAAGTTGATCGCAATACTTTTATGCAAAAATAAATTATTGTAACATAAAAAATATGTAGCTGCTAGTTGTGCAAATTATACACTTTTTTATGGGTGGTTCCATTTAAAAAATTAGTTTAATTGACCTTCAAATGACCTTATTGTTAGTTAAAATTCAAACTTATTATGAACTTTTTTCCGCTTAAAGCAAAACACACTTGTGGGATGCATCCTATTTGGGAGAATTAAAATTAATGTTTACACGTTTCTGACCGATCCTGGAGACGATGGAGCAATGTCCAATGACATTTTACGAAAGCGCACGTACATGTAACGACCTAACTTATTACGGAGGTAATACCAAATGTAATTCCGTGCGTTCCGGAGCGTACATGCAAAACGAGGGAATAATTCTCGGTTATATATATAACGGTGCGATGAGATGATAGCGAGATCTATCCCGAATCTATGCGTAAAGCTCGCCGCAGTCGCTGCGATAATTACAGCCATCTTGGAGAAATTGGTTTTAAGGGCGTTAGCGTAATTCCCAAATTGCCGCATTTGTAAAACGATGTTTTCCGAATACGACGGTGTAAAGGCACGGCGGGGTATATTTTTTAATAAATTTTATGTTACATTCTCTTTGACAAGAAAATTTAAGTAATGGCCTAATTATAAAAATTATTAAAAATTATAAAGTTAATTAGCATAGTAAAGGATCATTCATAATAATAAATAATTACAATTATTATTGTTTAAAGTATTCATTACAATTGTACAATAATTGTCGGCTGTTTATATTGATATGATACAATAATTGTCTGCTGTTTATATTAATTACATGTATGACGTCACATCTTCATAACAAATTATTCTTTAAGCTATGATTAGAAAAAAAAATACTTTTTAATTTTTGACTTCCTAAACTTTTAACTTTATTTAATTGAATTAATTTTATTTTAATTGAAATAATAATACTGCATTTTCGAAATTACATAGGGTGTACCTATTAAGTTGCATTTTTAATTTTATGAAAAAAATCGTCTGTATGTTCACTCGGAAAATACATTCCTACTCTTGATTGCCGCATTATATGATACACTTTATACATGAGGTTTGCTAGTGCGAGAGAGCATTTTAGAACACTGTAATTTACTCTGAATTTAATGGCCCGCTCTTTGAAATAAAGTGTAATATTTTCAGATAAAAGCCAGCAATTCTCTAAATTATTCGCCATTTCTAGCGTAATGCGAGTCTCTAAATATTGACAAATCACTAGTTATTGCACATGCACATGTGGTGGAAATAATCTGATAGCCAGAAGCAAATATTATGCATGATAGTTGCATTATAAACGCACTCGTATTAATTACGATTATCATCTGTGCGGTTATTTCAAAACCAAAAATGAACAAATCCTGTATTATTATTAATATCATTATTATTATTGTAAAACAGTATAAGAATGTAAATCAAATTATTTGACATATTCATATCATTCAGTGATCATGAAAGCAAGCTCTCTATAAAATACTAATCAAACTAAAAAGCACATCTCTTCTTTCTATAATTTTCCAAAATAAAAAAAGAAAGAAGTGCAAATTGGAAAGAGTAATCCCAAATTTAGCCTGTTTTGTGGACTTCGAAGTTTGAATCGAATTGTATGCCAAATGATGCTATATGATGGGACATTAATCCCTGAAAAATTTAAAGTTGAGCATAGGGTACTTTTGGAAATACGGGGGGTCAAAATGGTCAAATTCTAACACTGTCTAAGTACAATTGTTACAAAAACTTCTTTGATAATCGTGTTTTTTAACTAGAAATAGTGAAAATGATTTTCAGAATGGTTCTCTGACCACCGTACTAAAGATCCAATCCTTCTACCTCTCTCTCTGTGTTACTTTATTTTAAAGGAGTAAAATCAATTCTCCAAAAAGTTTTTCCTGAATTTCTCGAAAACGGATACAGATACGAAAAAATGTTTCAAATAAAAGTTGTTTGGCTTGAAATTCTGCACAAAAAAAGTTTATTCTATCTTTTTTATAAGGCTAACCATTTAGCCGGAATCCGCATCTAAAGAGTTTTTAGAACCATTTTGACCCGCCGTATTTCCAAAACTACCCCTATGCTCAACTTTAAATTTCTTTTAGGGATTTTTTTAAAGAGATTAATGTCCCATCATATAGCATCATTTGGCATACAATTCGATTTGAATTTTGAGGCCCACAAAACAGGCTAAAAAAGGCTGTTTTGGGGTCACTCTTTGCACATTGCTTTCTCACCATTTTATTTCGCTCATTAAGCTCTATGAGCAAGCTGGTTTTTCAATTTTGGCTTCCTCATAGAGAAATAAATAAAATAGAATATGCAAGTTTTCATTTTTTTCATAAAATAACATTTTTTGTATATGTGTGTATGGTATAACAATTAAAAAAAAAAAAAATTCCATGGGCGGAAACAAAGCTTTCCTCTACAAGAAAGAAAAATCGATAAAACCTAACAGCGATATAATCCATTTAAATTTCCTAAACCGGACAAATATGTATGCATCTGCATACGCGCGTACAAATGGTATAACTAATCAGCAACCGTCGTAAGTATAATGAAGGGGGGGGGGACTCCTCGTAAATAATGAATAGCGTAAACCGTAGTGAAATGATTTATCGCGTCCAGCGCGAGCCGACAATGGCTTCCTTTTGGACGGCAGCTCCGACCGAACAGCCGTTTGTACCTCTCTCTATGTGCGCGCACGCTTTCTCTCCCTCTTTCACCCTGCCTCTGGCTACCTCGACCGCTGCCGTCGTGCCGGTGTCGCGCAATAAATCTGTCCAGATGGTGCGGTATATAGCCGTCAGCGGCGGCGGGATGCTGCGCGACGCAACACGACGCTCCGGGGCTGCGAAACTCGTCGTCGGCGTTGACCGATGGTCAAGATACCTTTTCCCTCTTTCCCTCCCCTTTCTTCATCGCTTGAACGGAAGTGTGTTAAGGCGAATTTACGCGGTATTATTCCTCGCAAATAATCGCGCCGTGCTTCAGGAAATTGGGATAAAAATAGTATTTAGCGCATATGTACAGGATTTTAGAGTACACACACACACATATATATATATATATATATATATATATATATATATGCACGATTCGAAATTGTACTTATAAGTACAATACTTTTTAATGAATCGAACATTTTAAGTCAAGTAGGTTAAGTCCCAGATAGTACCATATCTAAAAGTGCATAAGTCATCATTAAGAAATTTTTAAGAAATCTTATGATATATGATATCTCAAAAATATCTTAAAGATATCTTATGCGTCAGTTTTGGACATAATACTAGGGTGTTGTTAGGTTTGATTAGGTTAGGTTAGATTAGATTAGACTGGATGGAAGATAGTATTTAGCGCATATGTGTACAAAATTTTTAAATAGAGTACACATATACAAGCACGATTCAAAATAGTACTTATAAGTACAATACTTTCTATCATAATGAATCAAACATTTTAAGTCAAATAGGTTTAGTCCCAGATAGCACCGTGTCCAAAATTGGTGCATAAGACATTATTAAGAAATCTTTAAGACATCTTCAAGAAATCTTATGATATGATATCCCAAAGACATCTTAGAAACTTCTTAAAGATGTCTTATGCACCAATTTTGGACATGGTGCTGTCTTAATTAAGTTTTGTAAGATTAGGTTAGTTACCCGAACTCTAAGATAACTAAAAACCTATTTATAATACTTACTATACACATTCAAAATTACTCATAAGTAGTCATAAAAAAACACTTGGTCCAAGTATTTGATACTATAATCTTTCTTTTCCAAGGTACTTATAGAGAGTTCGAATCTCGTCCAGGTTCTACTTGAAAATACTATTTTTTTCAAAGTAATCATAGAGTTCAAATCATGCACAAATTTGAATCTACTTGTAAGTTGCTCAATTCCCCCCATAATATAGTTAAGTATACTTTAATATAAGCATGAATGAGCAAAATGTATGTAAGTGCGAGAGTTGACGTCAAACTTAAGTAACGATGCAAGTAACGGCAAGTTTGATATCGCGCGAAGGTGGCCTTTAGTATTTATTATGCTGACTGGTTATGAAGTGCAATTTGTTTTATATGCATGCACTCGCCATATTTTGACTCAACGTGCGCGATTGTCACAGCGGTACATTAGTTACTATCAACCGTACGTTTCTCCATAGATCATCCCGCATTCGTCCGTTATCTCCCAGTGATGTAACACGTGTGTGTGTGTGTGTGTACACGTTGTAATAATAAACACCAACGCTATTGATTTAACGCGCACGATTTGCGCATTCTAATAAGAGTCGATGACGTGAAACGTTAATGAAAAGTTTACATCACGCGTTCTATTGCGATTGCAAAGAAGAAATTAAGTGTGTCTAGATCTATTATCGAGATTTCTGTAAAAGGGAAGGGGCTGTTCCACAACGCGTAATGTAATTAGAAAGGAATTAATTTGTCGTGTGAAAAAATTTTGCGTGGGAAAACAGATGTACCTATAAATAAATGTACCTACCTAATAGATCAGCGAGTAAAGAATATTTCATTTATTTTCTTTGCAATGTAAAAATGAAGATATATGCTACTTACATGTTGGTCTCGTCCTATTGGGCCTTGTCAATGGAATCCACGGTCTTTGAGGCGGATGGTTTGCCGTAACTGTAAAAAACAAATGACATTATTAAATTCTTTTACCTCAAATTTTCTTCATTATAAACTATGTAAAGCTCAGCTTTATATAAATTTATAGATTCTCATATTCATTATATTAAGACAAAGATTTGTTTTGTCGATAGGTAGCGCTGAAAGTAATCAGTGCAACCTAATCTTCTTAATATATGGATGTATATAATATTGGCAAATACCACTTTTTAGAAAAAGAATCTTGCAAATTAATTAAATAATACTCGTTTAATGTAAATGTTGAAGGTCTCCAAGCAATCCAAACCCCCGCAAAAAATTTTGTATAAGTACGGAGACACTACTGTGTCCAAATGTGTCTAGAAGTGATTTGCGAAGTTCCTATAGTCGGAGACTTTTCTTTAAAAGATGCCCCATGATCAGGAAGGCTCTCTAGATTGATAATAATTAAATCATCACGTTAATTCAAAGTAATCAACATAACATTACAAGAAAAATTGTTATTGCTGAGACTGAAATGTTCACAAATCTCAGTCATGAAATCTTTAAAGAAGCTTGGATACGACATATAGATTTTTCCGAACTTTTAATTCAATCTGATGTTTTTGCTATCTAATTTACCTAGAATATTTACATCTTTCAAGCTTTTATAAAATTCTTTCAAAAATCTGACCTTTAAACTTGTTCTTCCACTTCTCAAATACAGTAACATTAAATTCAAGAATAGCCTAATTGGACGACGATAGTCCGTAATCAGGCGACGTTGCTGAAGCGAGACAGCCAAGATCGCGATGACCGCGGTTATTATAATTGCCAAAGCGACGAAGGAACGAAGAGGGAGGGAGATCGCGCGTTCATTAAACTAGTTCATTACACCTGCGTCGTCTAATGGCGCTCTTACGGGAAGCCATGCGCGCGGTCCGATAATTAAATCGTTCAACCAAATGTCACTTGCACGGGGGCCCTCCGGGCTATTAACGAGGTATAGGGCCAAGAAATACGAGAGCGCGTGAAACGCGAGGAAAGAAAACCGCGTCCGCGTCGTCTGCACGTGACAGCGAGATTATACGAGATGGGTGTCCTCGTGGCCCCATTTGGCCACTTATCTTTGAGACTAATGGAAGATAACCCCGGACGAAGGACCGAAATTCATCAAATGTTATTACGCCCCCGGTGGAAAAACGTCGCTACAAAAATAACGCAAGACGTGTGGGATGTATATGATATTTTAATATCAAAGGACGCCGCGAGGGTTTTTCGGAGCGGAACGAGTTCGTTCTAGCATCGATAATCTTGTCCCGTCCCCCTTAGTCAGCAAGTTCAGTTTTTAATCACAAACTACACTTTTGCAGGTGAGACACCCCGCAAATGAGGAAGGAATATTGCGGTCTTTAGGCCGACGGTCGTGTGGTTAAGAATCCTGTCTCAGTCTTTAGCGGTTAACATAAGTACCGAAGTTGTGCAAAAAATACTCTACAAAGTTTCCGTGGTTAAAACTTCATGTTACTTATCAGTAATTGATATGCTTCTGAATCGAACGTACTTCTGCAATAACAAAACTTATTGTGCTCTCCTCTTAGAGATGGGATCAAGTTCAATATGTACTTGAGTATCCGAATCGAATCTAACAATTAAGTTATATTTTCTATAGGATTCGAATAAATACTCATAAGAAATGATATTTCATATTGCGAAGTAATCGAATCTAGAATAGATATATTCCAATTTTGAATTGAATTTTGATTTAGATAGATTTCAAGGTTCGAAAACTTGGTACTTATTATATCAGACATTTAGACATATAAGTACTTCTTTATCTTAAGTGTTAAATAAGAGTAAAATTATTCAAGATACAACCTTTGAAAAAATTTCCGAGTTTTAATCAAATTCCACGAAAAATCGCGAATTTTTTAAGGTAAAAAAAATCCCTGACAATCCCGGATTTTTTCGATTTTTCTGGGAAAGAGAAAAAGTATCTTAATAATATACAGGGTGTTTCTAAATAAATGCAAAAAATTTTAGATGATTCTTTGTCGAAAATTAAGAGGAATTTTTGAGAAGTCACACTTTTTCAAAGCAGAAGATAAAAATAAAGTTTTCCTTTTTTTCTCAAAAACTATTGATTTTACGAAAAGAATGAAAAAAATAAAAAAGTTTCTAAAGGAATCAAGCTTTTTAACGCATATTGTTAGATAATCACATTCCGGTTCTGTTAAAAAGTCCTAATAAAAAATTGAATAGGGATTGTTAGTTGCATCTCCTTATAATATGTGAGAGGATTAAAAAATATTAATAAATCTTTTTTACTAGTAAAAAGCATCCACCAAATTTCATTTTTGTTTAACTTATCAAAAATCTGAGAAAAAAAATAAAAACCTAATTTTCACTTTTTCCTTTGAAATTTTTCACACTTATTCATACATAAACACTATACATACATATATTTTAAGTACTCATGAAAGTGTTAAATTTATCTTGTCTAGGTTTGTGTTTACTTGAAGATTATTTTTTTCGAAGTAATCATAAAAAGTTTGAAACCATACAACCAAATTGAAACCTATTTGTAAGATATGTACTTAATCCCGCGTAGAAAATAGTAAAGAGTGTATGTCGAGGGAGGAAAAAGGAACAGGGAAAGGCAAAGGAACTTATTTAATAATAAGAGAAATAGGTCGATCTGTCGGACGTTTATGTTCGGCGTTCACAAGATGCCCTCTGAAATATCCTCCAAGTTTCAAGAATAATCTCGTTGTGTTTCAAGACTACGGGAGAGTTATTTACGGTGTGGGGGAAGTTTCGCAATCTATTCGGTGGTCGCGGGCGAATCTTCTCGAGAAAAGCGAGAGATCTCTCCCGCCGATATTTTACCAAAGATCCGTTCGCAAATAACTCTTTCTCAGTTATTTCGATCCTTTTCTCTTTCATTAAAATAGAATTATCTCGATACAGAGCGCCTTCGCGTCATCCCATATGTCAATAATGTTCAACGATAAACATGATATATATATATTTTCCTGATAAAAACGAGTCAATAATATTTCAGAAAATATAAGACAAATAGAGAGAAACAAGATAGCACAATAAGTGATAATAAAAAAAAGTAATAAAAATAAACACACAGGAACAACGTGAGAATATAAATACGGACGGAAAAAAGAAGTCTGCTGCGTGTAAAAGGTGTATGTACATGTAGAATATACATGTATATACATGAAGTAATATACATGCCATGATGTTGCATATATAATAATGTAATAACATGTTTTCCGAATGCAGCGAGGCGCGCGCAATTTGCAGTCACTTTCCGCTGATTATCATCATTAAGTTGCCGTATTATCTCGCGTGCGCGCGTGGATGATCAGTTCAATCGCGCCGCGCCGCGCCGTCCATCGAGATTAATCCGACGCTTTTCGAAGCTCGTAACACGTCGCGTTACAATCATGCGTGCCAATCACAGCGCTGCGCCGCCGCCGCAGGTACGAAGGGATTAATCGGGACGGGAATAACTCGCGCGCGTTGGACGCGGCGTTGAATGCGCGCAAAAACAACAAATCGAACGTTCATTCCCCGTCATTCTCGCCAAAGCTTCCCCCATAAAGCTATCATAATCGAAGCCGGCAATTTTCGAGCGCTGTCAAATGTCAAATGAATAGAACCGTTTGCCTTTAAGCCTCTCAATTACCACGGCGTGAATCAAGTCAGATCTCGAAGATATTATTTGTTAAGAAATTCGGAAAGAATTTTCTTCGATTACCTTTGCTTATGTTTGTTTCTTCCGCAATTTCAATTTGTCTGTGATTATTTCTTTTTTATTTGTTATATGGCAAAGTGCATTTTTTTAAATCGATGTTTAATACTTCGGGAGGAAAGAAGAAAGAAAGGATTTTTATGTTTATTTCTTCAATTTTTTTTATTTTCTCATAAAAGAATCTTTGTTTTCGTGAAAACGGTTTTTTTCAAATTTCAATGTCAATGTGTTCAGAATATTCCAAAAAATCATTTTTAAAGAATATCCATATGTATGTAGTCCACTCACTTTTCTAAAACTTTAATCGTCTCAAGAACTGTTTAAGCTACAACACTCAAATTTGGCATGCAAGAAGTACAATACTTTTATTTACTGTTATTTTATAAAAATTTATAGTGTTTTAAATTTTTTAATACAATTTTAATTTTGCAAAAAATATCTGTTCCGTATTTTCGTAAATTTTAAGATATCGCGGGATAAATTTTCATACATAAATCGAATATCATTAAAATAGGATTGGTATTGAATTTGGCGAGAATTTATTTTTTATGAAATTTTGAATGCTTGAGAATTTTTGAAGTGTATTTTTAAAAAGAAAAGAAGAAAACAAGGAAGGATTTAGTTTTAAGTTTATTTCTTCAACAGTGTTTGCTGTCATCTAAATAAAAAAAATTATATGGATGATCATTGATCATCTAGATGAAATTTTGACAGCATCTTATCTTTATATAGATAATAAAAATATATATTATCTATATCAGCATTTTAGATGAAAAAGAGTGTTATCTTTACTAAATTATTTAAAATAATGTTAAGATAATTTGCTTTAGAATCATAGCATATAAAAATACTTAAGTAGTAGAACTTAAGTAGTAAGCGGTAAAAACTTACAAATGAAAGTATGAATATTTATTTTTATATCATTTTATAATTTATTTTTTTAATAATTTTTTATAATTGAGTTTATATAAGCAATCTTAAAAATAATATTAACTGAAAGTTATCCATATGAATCACAATACAATTTTATCTTTTATCTAGATATATTTAAATTCAAAATCATCTCCATTTAAGTGATAAATTTATATATTTTTATCTCATCTTTATCTAAATAATTTGAAAATTATCTAAACACAACACTGCTCTTCAATATTTTCACAATTAAAATTTTTTGAATCGATATTTTTTTTACTGTATTTAACACCTCGGGAGAAAGGAGCGTCTTCCCATTTCCCTGCGGGATCTTTCGTTCGCAGTTGCCTCGTTTCGGGCAA